CGGCTTGTGGAGGGCGGCGACCCGAGCAGAAAGATTGTCCGGTGGCGGTTGCACACAATGACGCCATCGCAGCAAACCACTGCTTACCTCCGCAGGGTGTTGCCCGACGGCGATGACTCGGCGTCGCGTGAGCAGTTGCTGGAGGAGATGGAGCGGCTGGTGGCTGCTGTGCCACGCGTGTACGAGACCCTGGGGTTTGACATTCGAAGGAACATGTACGCGTACTACGACAACTCCGCAGACGCGGTGGAGATGGTGAAGGTTGTGCAGGGAGCGAGAAAACGCTTCTGACCTTTTTTTTTTTTGAAAGAGGGTGGAAGAGGTGCAAAAGACAAAAGGAAAAAAAAACGAAGAGTTACTAGACGACACTCAACTCGTTTGATGACTGTGGCCGACTTCCTACGCGTGTGTTGACGTCGTGTTTATTTTTTATTTTATTTTATTTCTACTGCCCTTTTTCTTTTTTTACTGTTTTGCGTCAGTTAGGAGGTGTTGTGTACATCCACCCAAAAATGCCCGTCCCGCTGAAATCCTTCACGAAGTCCAAGTGGCTGGCGTTTTTTGCGGAGCTCACGGCGAAGCTCGCGCACCACAACGTGATGGTGGTGATGGAGGGATGCGAGGTGATCAAACGTCTACTCGTGTCACGCGTGTCCGTCGCCGCCTTTTTGGAGGAGGGCGAGCTGCTAACGCATCTTGTGGATATAATTGCAGGTGAGATGCTGTCTAGTGAGCGCCGCAGCGGGAGGCCACCGCTTTTTATGGCTGAGAAGCTTCTTTTTACACAACTCGAGACACTTTCCCTCTTTATTGATATGATGCTTGCACTACACGCGGATAAGAATCCATATTACTGCCTGCTGGTTTTGGCACGTGCCGGGGCGATTTTGATGACACTTGTCAAATTGTTGCAACGGCAGCACCCACGTTTTTTTGGGATCATCGGGACGATGGTGAAGTTGCTTCTGTCGTTACCGCTCGGGCGGGAGGTACGGGGCTTGCCGCTCAATGAAAGCCAGTCAGTTGCGTTCACATGCCATTTGCAGCAGCTGCAGGCGGCGGTGGCCCAGCACGAGGAAATTCTACAGGAGACGTTTGAAACTCTGCAGACGCTATGCTTTGCTACGGACGGCCCGTTGCGTTACTGCAGTCACAGTCTGTTGAACATGGCAGTGCATCGCCTTCGACGTTTGAAAAAACGGAGTAAACAAGGCAGCAGCGCTGGAGAAGCGTCCTCTTCAAGGCACGAAGTTGGGCTGAATAGAACCGAATATATTCCTGCTGACAATTTCATGGAAAGCAGTCTCAGAAGTCATGACGCAACGTGTCTTGCCGCGGATGAGACTAAAATATCCATAAACACAGCCATGGATGGGGAGGATGCGATACTCGAGGAAGTTGCAGATGTTTCCATTCCTGAAGAGGAGTACACAGACTGCTTTGATCGCCTGTCAAAAGCCGGTTCTCATGAGGAGTTTTTGTTTGTGATGAACCGTTTGTGGTGCATAACCGTGGCGGCTGGAGATCAACTGCAGCGTCGGTTTACAAGCCTTAATTTCAGCCGGGCATTTAAACGTTTTCTTGAGACCATGCCATCCAACCAGCAGGATCAGGTGGTGTTTACCTCCGTGCTGCTGTGGTTATCGCACATGATTTCTGGCTTTCACCTTCGTAGCGAGACGCGTGACAGCATCGCGTCTGTCGCTGGATCCTCGCTCATAAAAATTGTTCTCCAAGATTTGAACGCTCGGGATATGTTACTGCCACAGCGGGATGCATCGGATCTCTCCACCATTGACACATCCACACACGCCGCAAGCGCCGTCTCCACGTCTAGAGTTAACATGAGTGCATCTTCTCCGATGCGGTGCGAGAGACCCGGCGGCCTTGTGGAACGGCCATCGATCTCACTTGTTGTTCTCTCCTTTCTTCTTATTGCCGAGCGTGCGTGTGGGCCGCAGGAGATGGGACAGTGGATTCGTGACGCGGGTCTGTTTGCTCTGATTGAGTCCCTCATTCGAAATGTGGAGCGGACCAAATCTGCGTTGATTGACACGCCGACTACAGTTGACGGGGCACTGTCGGACGAGGTGTATCTTGCCTGCGCCATGGCATCTACGCGAACGGAACACACCACTCTTGCCGCCCTCGCCTGCAAACTTCTCTCGTCTGTCATTTGGAATCATTACATGGTGCTAAATAAATTGCTTGCGCCAGAGACCCTTCAAATGTTGCGGTCGACAATCCCGCTTTTGATGACGATTGGCATTCACAACCCGACACTCACATCTGCCATTGAAAGTGTGTCTGGATCCGCCATTCATCACTTACCCAGTTGTCAGCGTGCGTCACGCCATACTTCCTTGGGTGAGTGCAGTCTGGTGGCGTTGGATGCCTGTTTTTGGCTCATGGAGTTTTCTCGGATGGATGCGGTGTGCCTGAGGGATGTCATCCCAACGCTCCCAGCAGTCTCGCGGGCAACGCGTCATAGTATTCATCCGCCTCTTCGCGCCTCCGTCTACCGCTGCCTTTCGCGTCTATGTACTTCGTCTGCAGAACTTATGACCATCCTTCATGAGATGCCATCGGTCTTGAGCGCCGCCGTCAACAGCGTGTTGGAGTACACGAAGACCGCACCACAATGGGAGGCGGCAGCTGCAGCAGAGTGGTTGGCGCATGTCATTCGCATCGCCTCCAGCGACGCCAAGGTGGAGCAGAATTTCGATTTTATCCAGACGGCGCTCCCAGTTAAACTGCTGGAGTTGGCTTCTTCTAATGGCATTACATACGCAACTGCCGCCATGCTGTCCTTGATGACCTCTCTCTTTGGGCAACAAGGTCGCTTGGCTGAGTTTCACCAGAATACTTTTAGCAACGTTCTTTTGCCCTATGGTAAGCGATCACTGGAGTGTTGGTTGAAACTTCTTCTTGTGGCGACGCAAACAAACGAGAAACTGGAGCATGTAAGTGAAACGCCAATACCAGCGGCGACAACCACAAAGGATGCACTCTCACGATTCTTGAGCGGTATTGAGGGCATTTCGGTACAGTTCTCTTTTGTTTGTTCGCTGGCTCAGGGACTGCTTTTTCTCTTTGCCTCCAATACAGTTGTGAGGGAACAAATTTCAGACGACGTTATATGCGATTTTATCATAAGTGTCTTTGCTCTTCCGTTGCCGGATGACATTTTTGACATGTTATCATCCCGCTTCGGCGTGAGGGTGGAGCAGCACAGGACGTTGGAGGATTCTTACGAGGTCATGCTGCAGTGGGTGATGGAGTTCTTTTCTCTTTGGTTTACTCCCGCCAGTCGTGCGGAGAAGAACCCACTCAGCCTGCCGTCCAAGTTTTTTACGCATGTTTGTAAAGTTATAAGAAACAACCGCCTGTCACAGCGGATTCGCGCACATGTTTGTTCCTTCGTCTCCGGCATTGTTCTTGTGCGATGCGATGCTCTCTATGAGGCGCTCGCGGCGTCTAGTGGCGATCTCTTTGTGGCATCACTTCTTGTTCATCCTGCTTCTTCTGTCTGTGGAATGCAGTGCCGCCTTTTATCGCTTTTTGCGCTGGCGAATGATAAGGCGCACGAGGTTGGCTGGGTTGCCGCAAAGGTGACGGAGCTTGACGGACAAGTGCAGGCATTGAAGAAGAATGGAGGCATGGTAGGGGGAGACGAGATGAATTCTCTCGTAATGGCGCTTTCATTCGTGAGTAGCGCCCTGGCCTTTTCTGAGTGTCGTGCCCTGTCGCGGGACGTCAGGCAATCGTTTTGCTCTTCATTTCGCATTTTGTTGGGCTACGAGACGACTCAACGTGCGGCCTTTCAGGCGTCTGCGGCACTTGCGCGCAGTAATGAGGGGCGACGCTGCCTCCTGCATGAAGTCTGTTCCACCGGCGACTCGCTTTCTCGTTCATGTTTTGGCCGTATTTTGGGTGTCACACTTGGCGTCTTGCAATCGGGTGAACACCTGAAGCTGCAGAAGGAGAACAACGACGCCATGAAGCATGTTCCCTTGGGCGAGCGGGAGGCATTAAGGGCAGCTGTCGTAATTTCTGGATTTGATATCTGCGCCACGGCGTGTGGGAAAGGCGGGGTGCCTTTTACGCATGCTGTGATGAGATTGAAGGGTGTTGAGCATATAGAGTCTCTCTTTCTGAAGCACGAACGCCAGCGTGTGCCGACACCGTTGGGTCTATTTCGACTTTTAGCGGCGATTTCTTTTCAGTTGGAGGCGCAGCTTGCCATCGTACGGCGGGCGGAACTCATGACAATTCTGATAGAGACTGCAGGAAGCACAAATCACACAGGGACTTTGTCTTTGTTGACGCTCCGCAACCTCTGTTTTAATTCCACTTTAAAGACGCAAATATGTCAAGACAGTCGCATTCTTCTTACATTTAAGGCAGCCTTGATGGCAATTCCATCGCCGCAAACTGGGACGCACGAAAATAGCAGCCCCAAACCAAAGGATTGCATGAAGATTGTCCTCTCCTCACCGAATGAGGTGGGGGAGAAGCGGGCCTCTCTGCAAACGTTTCTGGAGCAGAGAATGTCGTGGCAGTCGAGAAATTCAGAATGTGTGAGCAGTATAGATGATTCCTTAGGAGACCTGGATATATTTCGCCGTCAGGAGTTGGCTGTGACAGCCTTCTGGTCCCTCATGTACGACAACCAACGGGGGAAGTCATATGTCCGCGGTGTTTTTAACCAGTCACCGACCGTGAACATAAACAAACTTTTGACGACTTGCTCGGGCCTTACCGTGTGCGCCCCGGACTTTGCAAAGTACTCGGAGAAGATGTCAGAGGCCATTGGAAACATCAAGTTTTTGGGAAAGGGTGCTATTTGAGTCCAGGCGCCATAGGGGCCGAGGTGAGTTGACAATCGATGTTGCATCGAGAGGGTTGTGGGGAGAGGGGTGCTAGCTTCCATAGATATTGACCGATAGGGAACGGCGGATGAAAAGATAAAATGGAAGAGTTCCAATTTCAAAGCATAGATGTTTTTCGAGTATAAACCATTCCTTGAGGGCGGTGGCATATTATTGACTGTTCTTCTTGTGTTCGTTGTTTCTGTTTTTTTTTTTTTTTTTTGTGTGTGTGTGTGTCTTCTCCGTTTACTGAACGTCACGACGAAGCGGTTTATCAACGCGATGGACCTTCGCGACGCATTCCTTCTTACTTGCCGAAATGGAGGCATCTCTCCGTATGTGCAGAAATATCTTTTACTTTTTTTTTTCTTCTTTTTTAATTATTTTCTGTTATTTTGTTGGTTTGTCACACAGCAACTCTTTTTTTGCTTTCGGCCTTCTGCATCTGTTGGGGGTAGGGGGGTTTATTTTCTTTCTTTGTGTGTCAAGGGCCGGGGGTGGGGCGAGCGAACAAACGCGACGGGTTTTTCTGACAAAATGGCAGACGCCGCAAAGAAGGCAGCGGTGCTTCTTCTTGTGCGCCATTTGCTTGCGCGCGAGGGGGTAGACACCGGCGTTGAAACTAAACCGCTGCCTGAGAAGTACGAGGACCTCCGCGATGGGGCGATTCTGTACCGTATTCTTGCTCGCATATCCCCACAGACCTTTCCGGAAGCCGACGAGATGACCAAACAGGCGCCGTCGAGCCGTCAGAACTGGGTGGTGCGGAAAGGGAACCTCGTGGCACTTGTGCGGCACATGAACGATTATGCCCATCAGTTTCTTGGCGCACCGGAAACGTTGAATCTTACGCTTCTTATAAGCCCAACGGAAATTGCAAATTTACCGGAGTTGAGTGAAGAATCAAAGACGCCGTTGGAACTTGAAAAGGGCATGGAATGTTTGATGGAACTGACAGATATTTTTGTTGTGATGGTTGTGCTCAGCGGTGATCCCGCAGTATTGCAGGCGGTGAAGTCGCTACCACACGCGGAGCAGGTGGTGTTGTCCAACGCAGCAAAGGCGTGTATTACAAAGCACGCGCTACGCCCTCGACGGCGTCATGAGACACTAGCATTGGAGGATTCTTTGAAGTCAGGCCTCCATCGCAGCGTCACAGCAGGTTGCGCTGAATCTTCGTCACACGCCGCACATCTGTCTTGCTCACTCGTGGGTGAGGAAGCCCTAAATCATCAAATTTTACAGCTTCGTCGTGGGCTGGACGACGCAAACGCCAAGGTGGTAGAGCTGGACTCCAAACTTCACCTCGCTCTCACGGAGAGGCAGGAATGGGAGTCTAAGTACAAGAATTTACTCGCAGAGGCGGAGCTCCGGCGAATGACCGCTGCAGGTGAAGACCACTTGCGGCAGCTCTTAGCAAAAAAGGAAGAAATTGTTCAGAAGCTCACGGCTACTATTGAAGATCAGAAGAAAAGGATTTCGGCCTTCAAAGAGGCCACGGCGGCACAAGAAACGGCCTTGGGTTCCTTTAGACGCAAAATTAAGCACACAGAAGAGGAGCTGATGAAGAAGAATGTTGAGAGGCGTGAAGCTTTGGACAAGCTCAGTGTCGCTGAACGGAGTTTAGCTGCTCAGATGAATATCCGAGCAGAGCTGGAGAGACAACTGGAGGACCTACGCACAGAACTGGCTCTTGCAAACGCTCAAACTCATAACGGCATGGAAAATAGTGAGGCGTGCTTAAATCGATCATTTGGTTCAGTGAACTCCGTTGATCGTGTTGTGCAGCTTGAAAACGAATTGGATGAGGCACGGAGTCAGAAGGAGGCGGCGGAGAGGCTCCTCCAAGTTCTTCAGCGACAGGTTGCAGCCTTGCCGTCTGAAGGATTTGGATCCTCTGCTGCCATGGGCGCGCTAAAGGCCCAGTTGCGACAGGCCGAAAAAGAGAAGGAGGAATTGCGTAACCAGCTGGCTGCAACGATCGCGAGGTTGGAAGATGCACAGGGCTACTGGAGACGCCGCGGCAGCACAAGTTTTGTTGATAATGAGACAGAAAGCCCCTTATTAGAAGGAAAGATTGGGGGAGAGAACGCCGATAGTCCGTCCGGACGGGAAGAGACGGATGCATCTGGCCAGCAGCATCGCCCATGTGAGAAACAAGATGGAGTGTCCCGGGAGAGGACTTTACTTGGCTCCACCCTGCTGCTTCTTGGGTATCGCAACTTGATGCTGCAACAGCAACTCACGATGACGAGTGGCGGTAAATTCACCGCTTCTGGCGATGGAGAGAAAGAAAACAACGGTGGGTTTGCAGGGAACACCGGGTCTTTTTTGACACGTCATCGATACGAGGTGGAGCAAGGCCTCCTAAGGTCTGTCCTGAGCCGTGGCGGCTAATATTACTAATCAAAACGAGGGAAAAGACAGCTCACCCCTTTGATGTTTCTGCAGGCTTGATTGGTTTCTCTCGTTTGAACTTTCGAGTTTATGTGCCCTTTTTTGTTGTTTACTTTTGGCTTTAACGTTTCTTCGGGTTGAAATTGAGGTTGTTTGCCGCTTTTTTTATTACCATGGGAATTATGTCGTTTGGCTGCAGATATCTTAATTTGCGTGTTGCTGGTATGACTGTGCGGGTCGAATGACTGCTCTTCCCTTCCAAAAGAAACAAAAAGCGGGCGTGAAAAAAAAAAAAAAAAGAGGAAACAAAAGCCGAAACGCAAAAAAAAAAAAACAACAACAAACCTGCCGCGGTGAGTTTCTTTTTACTTTGTGTGTGTGTGTCTGTTTGTGTGGGTATTGTTGTTTTCCTTCCCTTCTTGACTTGTGGGCTTAACTTTGCCTTTTTCTTTTTTCCCTTTGGGGGGTGATGGGGTGTTTTTCTTTACACGTGTTTGGCACCCTGACAGAGGGTGTAGCGTGGGAATACATACACATACACACAGGGAGGGAGGGAGGTGGAGGAGCGTCAAGGGAATAAAAAGGGAGAGAGAGGTCCTCGGACTGGTTGACGCTTCCTTCCAATGGACTTACATGATCCTTCTGAGGAAATAAATCAGCAGAGCGAAGGCGAGGATGACAAAGGGTACGAGGAGGTGATTGAGGAGGTGGAGGTGGAAGAGGAGTCATATATTAGTGGGTCGTACGAAGAAGCATACGATGAGGAAATGACCGATGACGAGGAGGAGGAGGAACAGAAGGAAGACCAGGAGAATCTTCTCTCATTTTCAACATTTCCGCTGGAAGCGTTACGCGGCCAGCACATTATGGTGGCGGTGGCGTTCAATCGGTTCATTGTTATTGGCACCAATCGTGGTGTGGTGGCATTGGTGGAGGGGTCTGGTGTGGTGCTTCGCATGCTCAACAATCACATCGACCCCATTAGTGACGTGAGCTGCGACATTATGGAGGAGCATGTGGGTTCCTCCGACAAGGCGGGTGTTGTTACTGTGCAGAACCTGAGTGACGAGCAAGATTTTTATCGAAGGGAGTTTGATGTTCCAATTTATTCAATGGCACTTCATCCAAAATACAGCCGCAGTGAAGATCGAGCCATTCTTTTGGGTGGCGGTGATAAAGTGATGCTCATTACAAAAACGAGAATTTTAGGCCACCGAAAAATCACCATTTTGCAGGAGCGGCGTGGAAAGGTGTACGCGGTACGCTGGTGTGGCCCCGAGTTGATTGCCTGGGCAAATGATCGTGGTGTGCAGCTCTATAGCTATACTGGACGGGCGATGGTGCATTTTGTATCTAGACCCGTGGACTCATCAAGACTGGAGTTTTACCGCTGCTCCCTCGTGTGGGAGGCCCCTCGTACACTTACCTGTGGATGGGGAGACTGGGTTCAGGTGCTTCACGTCTACGAGCTACGGATGGAGGAACCGGTTGAGATG